CAAATGACTACAATGAATCTTCTTTGAGAATTCTGACATGCGCGACCAGAAAAGCAAAAAAAAATGATTTCCCGCTTTGTCTGAAAAGAGCATATTTTTCAAGCAGGAGATATAAAAAAAGATTTTGTTTTTTTTTTTCAGTTAAATTTTACTTACTGGTTTTTCTTCATATTTAATAGCTAAATAGAGTCTAGCTAAAAGTAAATATTTTTCTTCTGATTCTTTTCCAGTTTTTCCTAAAACACACTCAAGTTCTCTATGACCACGAACTTTATCAAGTAATTTAACAGCATATGCACTTAATTGATCAGCTAAATTCATATATTCATTCTAAATGAAAATAATATTGATTTCAAAAATAAAATTCAATTCTTTTTTTGTTTACTTTAAAATATTTTTCTTTTGCTGATAGATCTCTTAATTCTCGACCAAGTTCAAATGCTGTTAAAATTGGATCAACTGATACTAAACTAATATAACTTTCACTTGCTAAACCACGATATGCATTTAAACGAGATTGTGCATGACGTAATGAATCAAATTTAAATTTATGATGACATTGTAAACATTTACAATGATAATCATGTGGTTTTGTTATACGATCACCACCCATTAAGAGTAATTGAACTAGAAAAACAAAAAGACAAAATTAAAATAAATATGAATATTTAAATAAATTCTTATTTACCTATTTCAGTTCGATTATATTGTGCTGCTAATATTAATGGTGTTATATCAGGCGAAAATTGTGCATCATTTGATGATGGTGTATGCCAAAATGCTTCTTCATCAGCTGTAATAGCTCTTCGTTCAGATAATATTTTAAATTTTGGATGACGTAAACATGCTTCAGCTATTTGTACATGACCAAGATAAATAGCTAATAAAATAGCTTCACGCATTTTTTGTCCATCACATTGAGATAATAAATGTGTAACAACCTATAACAAAAAAAAAAAACATATTTACATATATATATATTTTATTTCTATAAAGAATATTAATAATTATTCTACTTCAAGATGTTCTTTTTCAATAGCTAATTGCATTGCTGTACGACCTAATTGATTAGTAACATCAATATTAAATTTAGGATTGTCACGAAGAATTTGATGAACTGTACTATAATCTCCATTTTCACATGCACGAACAAATTTTTCATTGACATTCATTTGCTAATAAAAAAAAAACAAATTCGGGAAGGGAAATATTGTTTTTTTTTTATAGATTTTATTTTTATTTACCTCATTTCTTGAACTATTGTTATAAGCTGATTTATATAAACTATTTCGAAGACCAAGTAATTCAGCACGTCCATACATATTGGCGTTTGTTAAGTGAGGAAAACGTTTATTTTGAATTCCACTAGGAGTATGGTTACCACTTGTTGCCATTTTAATCTATTTATTTTATGAACACTACACGTTATTTGAAAATAAATATTTATCTAGAAATAAAAAATTGTTAAATTCAAATTTTAATAAATGTTTTATTTTTTTGATAAGTAAAATACAAAAAAAAAAGAAGAAGAACCTCTTATCTATTATTAATCTGATTTTTTTTCTTCATAGAAATATAATGTAGAAATTAGAAATTCTTTTAGAACTATTGCATTTACGATAGATATAAAGAGAAAGAAAGAAAGAAAAAAAAAATGATGTTCAATCTACCTGAGACAATAAGCAGATGTTTATCAGTGTTGGTATACATACATGTGAATATACTATTATCTTATAAAGACTAATATTTCTAATAATTTGAGCTACTTACCTATTATTTTATGTTATTAGCGTTGTTAGTTATCGCTCTCTCGCAATCTATATTTTTTGAGGAAAAAAAAATAAATGAACAGAAAGTCGAGTGTTGTTGTCTCTACATGATTGAATAAAACTAATAAATGACATAATCATGCATTCTCGACAAGCATCGATGAAAGTAGAAAAATAGATGAATGATCTATTTACCAATGTATCTTTAATGGATGATAAAAGCACAAAATATAAAAATAAAAGAGAATATTCATAAAATTAAATTCACAAGATTGGTTTAAGTTACTTGTTTAACCTATGTTTATTAAAATTTTTTCAAAAATTAGATTGACTGCATTTCATTTTTCTCTATCAATTAAATTGGGCAAATAAGATAAAATCAAATATGTTAATAAATTTTTTTTTTTCTGTAAATCCAACACAACCGGAACTAAACACGATAAATTAATGTCATGACGAACGTGTGTTTGAAAGAAAAAAACTTTATGTCAATAGTATTTATTATATTTTCTCTTGTTCCCTTTTGTAAAAAAAAAGGATAAATTAGAATATCCTAAGTATAATTTCAAAGGTTAAGAAAATAAAAAGAATATAGTCTTTTTTTTAAATTTATGTTCTACATAAATTATTTGTAAATTTATATCGAATAAAATATCAAATTTAAAACTATTGTCTCGAAAAGATTGATTCACAACAGTTAATCGAACTTTTTCTTATCTTCTTTGAAAATCTTTAAAAGAAAAACAATTCATCTTTAGATCAAAGCTGGTTTTTTTCTACAGCGAGTATACCAGTAGCTCTATAGTTACACCAAAGTTAACTATAAGTTTTTTGATAATTTTTGACTATAGAATGGGATATATGTAGGCTTGTAGAGATGGGATTTGTTCGTTTTTTTTTATGAAACCAAACCAAAAAACATCATAAACCAGAGCTTAGACGAAAGTATTTGTAATGGTACTTTTACTTGCAAATACAAAGTAATGTCTCTTTGCGTATTTGAAATATCTTTCTGAACACTTCACTATTACTGCCAGAGAGTTAAAACGGATTTCGAACTTTCGTTTATTTTTGAAAATTTAACACTTTTTTTTATGTAAAGCATTATTCAAATTTCTGATGTATTGTATGAGGAATGAAAGATGTTCAATTCAGAAACAATTAGCCTTTGGATACATCAAATGACTTTTCAGATGATTCTATAACTTTTTGTTAAAACAAATTTTTATCCTAATGACGGAACATTTCCTAGTGCTCCGCTCCGTTTTGATTCATTCATACATCATGCGATAGAGTATATTAAGATAGGAAAGAGTCTAAAAGGATTCGTGCTCTTAGCCTAGGAGTGAAGAATTATGACTGTTTTACTGAAATTTTTACTATGAGCCAGAGATTTCGGAAAAAACCAAAATGAAGAGTTTCAAGCTAGAATTTTACCTATAGATAGATTTTATAGTCATTAGATAGTCCTGAAAGTTTCAATGAAAATGAACGTGTCTTCATCTAGATATTCAATGTCCAACTAAACTGGACTATTGTGCTCTCCTATGGTAAACAGCTGTTTTTTTTGAAAATCGAATAACTCGATAAAGACACGTTCGCTTTCATTGAATTTTTCAGGAATATCTAATGACTATAAAATCGATCTATAGGTAAAATTTCAACTCGAAACTCTTCATTTTGGGGTTTTTCCGAAATGCCTAGCTCACCGTAAAAATTTCAGTAAAACGGTCATAATTTTTCATCACTAGGCCAATGGCACGAATCCTTTTAGACTTTTTCTTATCTCAATATACTCTATCGAATGAGGTATGAATGAATTAAAATGGAGTGAGTCATTTGGAAATGTTCCCTCGTATGTGTATTAAGTTTTTTAAATTATTAGTCATATATCAAAATAGATCTAATAGATTGCATTTATTTTAAGCTCAATGTTATTAGAAAGAATTAATAGTTTTAACCTAAACTTTCGGAGAAATCTAAGATATATTCAAGAAATCCTATCGATGAGTAGAAAATACAGAGAAGTAATAATCTCTTCTAGGTTGTAAAGCATGGATCTGAATTCATGTATGTTCTTCTTAGTGTCATCGAGAACTATATTTATCTATGATGGTAAGTCGAACAAGTATCATTATTCATAGACATACATCAAAATTTTAAACAAACTCTAACTATTAATATAGATAATTTTTATAAGTGTCCTGCATTGAATTTATCAACGTATGAGAGAAAGAAAAGCTCTATTAAAATATTCTTATTTTCATTTATGTTTTCATTAGATGACGTTACGATGACTTTGAAAACTTATCAGAGGTAGTCAATTTTAAAGACGAAGTTTATTATATTTGTACATCAAGCAAAAATACCAAGTACTTCTACTTGCTCTACTTATACTCGTCCTACCTCTGCCTCAAACCAAACCGAACCGACCTAGTTTTTAAAAAGTTCGAATTGAACTTATCCCATCGCTCGTAGAGATAGACCTCCTCTATCTAAGGGTATATGTATTATCAGATTCTACTACGTACCATTGACATGTTAATTGGTGATGCCACCTTTGCCATGACCATGGTAAAATGCGACGAAGGTGGTGCCACTAATTAACATGTCAATGATATACAGTAGAATCTGATGATACATACATCATTAAATAAAGCAAGTCTATTTCTATAACCCTACAAATATATCATTCTGTTGTCAAAAACTTGTAGTCACCTTTCAACTCAGAAGTAATTATTGGTGAGAGCTTTTCATGTTTTCCAGATGAAAGTACGCCGTTCCAGCATAGATATCATATATAATTAGTTTGTTATTTGTCTTTATTTATGGTGGAATATTTTCAAAATAAAAATATATCTCTCTAGTAAATTATCCTAAGATCTGTCTATTACAAAAACACTTGAACCAAAAAATTAATTGCAGAGGGACAGAAATAATATTGCAAAAAAAGGGCTGAATTTTGTTTTTGGACCACTCTGTGACAGAAAAAATTCATTTAGTTTTTCTGTTGTATAGAGGATATTGTAAATAATATTAGTTCAAGTAAAGAATCAGTTGCATTAGCTTAGTAAAACAAGAGAATATGTTTCATGTATACTACTCATCAAACAATACAAACATTTTATTTATTTAACAAATTATACAAGTTTTTTAACATCATCAAATTGTGTTTTATTTTTTGGTGATGGTGGACATGGCATTTTTTTAAATATATTTCCTCTATTTCCATGATCAGTAACAATTTCAGTTAGTTCTTCATCATCATCATCATCATCATCATCATCATCATTATCATCATCATCATCATCACCATCATCATCATCGTCTGTATCTTCATCGGAAGAGAAGGAAACACAAAATTTCACACCATATGGATTTGATGGTTGTTTTTCATCAGATATGATACTTAATTCTATATTATCACCAGAAGTTTGTGTTTGCGCAACAACAGAACTTATTGTTTCTAATAAACCACGTGATTTTTCATGTTTTTCATTACCAGCATAACCAATAATAAAATGAAAACCACTATTATGTCGATTCATTGAATTTTCATTGATCACT